GAAAGTGAGGGTCAGATGTTACCAAAAGTACCATGAATTTTGAAGAGGCACAAATACAGGGTGGAAAGGAAAAATGTGACAAGAGGAAGGCACACCAAGCAAATGCTTGTGACCACCCTCCATCTGGAAATCTATATCCTCATTATGAAAGACCAAAATGGATCTAGAAAGGTATTCACAGTCACTTACAGACCAAGATTCTAACTGGAGGACAATCATACCCGGCCAAGATGATAGGCTATGATGATGACTGCTTACAGATATTGTTGAAAAGTGCTGGATCATTCAAATTCTAGCTGAGTTTTATTATCTTTGGGAATACATAAAATATGCATGTTTTTAATCTACCTGACCAAACGTTGTATATTTTTAAAAAAAAAAAATCAGTTAAATATTATCAAGATCTTGTCAATTTGGAGTCCTTCAGTGTGAACTCACTTCATCTTGACCCTGTGGCTGCATCCCTGTACTGAAGGAATCCCTTTATTTAAAATAGATAAATGCATTTTCATGTTGCCTAGCACTCCTCCATTTACTGTTCTCAGAAGGTGGACAAGAAGTGAGAAACTTGGTGAAAATCTACATGACCACCACATGGAACTCATCCAGGTTAATGTAGGACAAGGCCACATTGACCCACGTGAACCAAAATTGTGGGATACTCCAAATTCTGGTGACTTGGGGCCACACAAACAGTTGGGCCAATTCAGAGACTGTTTACACTCCCATCCCATGTCTCCTGGGTGTGAGCAGTCTGGCACATACTTTTTCCTCCTGTTCTCTGTGGCATGGTACTCTCTGGACGTGATATTAATCCTGCTGGTTGCCCACCACCACCAGTGATGTTCGCACAGTGATTGAAAAAGGGAGACGGAAGGGAGATTCTTTTTTCTCCCCTCTTCCTTTCTTGCATCAGTCCAACGACACTGTGGGCGATGGCCACCTGGTAGTTGTGCCTGGAGATTGATGCAACATGGAGAATGGGAAGGGAATGGTAAAGGTATCTCTCTGACAGTGCCAAACCAGGTTTGCTGTTGCTGGGTGTTCAGAACCCCTTTCCACCTCCACAGCAGCTGGAGGTGATTGTGAAAACCTTCTTGGGGCCAATCCAGTGTATGACTTGCATGGCTGGCCCCGCGATGAAGGATCAGCATACATCTGTCCAGGGTTACCAATCTGTTTTGTGCACACAAAAACTTAAAATAGTGACAGAAGACAAGTGCTATCACACATACTAGATTTAATGGAAAATGTAAACAACTTCCCTTCTAGCTCTTTTACATAAAGAACTGAATGTTACTGTCCAACTTGAGGGTGGGCAACACCTGATTTAATATATATTTGGGAAGCATAGAGGGAAACAAAGTGTGTGAGAGGAAAATGGAGGAGCCAAAATAGTTGAGGCAAAAGAAAGGACAGAAGGTTTCCACATATGAACACTTCATACCTTTATTCTAAGTGCTGGTTTTTACCTTAAAAGCCCTATATGGCTTCGTTCCAGGTTATCTGAATGACCGAATCTCTTTCTACGAATCTACCAGACACAGCTATGATTAATGGGGGAGGGCCTTCTCTCTGTCCCACCACCCTCTCAAGCCTTTTTGGTGGCTGCTCCCTGACTGTGGAAATATTTCCTTTAAAAAAAGCAGGTAAAAACCTTTCTTTGACAGCAGGCATTTGAGAAAGGATGAAAGACACGCTGCTGGGGTACAATACGGTACTATTGAATTGTGGTTTTTATTTTTGTATTTGTTTTGTTTAAAACTGTAATCAGCTTGTGTGGTTGTTAGCCATCTTGTGTCCCCAAGGGGAGAATGGCAGGGTATAAATGAAGTAAAGAATAAAGTGAATAATAATAATAACAACAATAATAATAACAACAACAACAACAACAGCAAGCTGTCCCTTTCACTGCCATCCTTTGAAACAGAGTGAGGGAAGGAGATGTGGCCAAAAGACAGAAAGAAGATGTTGACAGAAGGAAACAGAAAAGGTCTCCCTTCACAATTTTATCCTAGGCCTCAGACATTGGCATCATGTGGCTCTTAGGAAAAAAATGTTCCCCACCCTGATTTATTTTTCCAGCACACAGCTCTTACATTTATAAAGTTTAAAGAGAATATATTTATTGCAATCACAATCTACTGGGTTCATGGCCTAAGCCAGTGTTTCTCAACCTTCCTAATGCCGTGACCCCTTTAAGACATTTCCTCATGTTGAGGTGACCCCCAACTATAAAAGTATGTTTTTTGCTACTTCGTAACTGTAATTTTGCTACTGTTATGAATCATAATGTAAACATCTGATATGCAGGATGTGTTTTTATTCACTAGACCAAATTTAGCACCAATACCCGATACGCCCAAGTTTGAATACTGGTGGGGTTGGAGACTGATTTTGTCATTTGGGAGTTGTAGTTGCTGGGATTATAAAAGAGCATTCTGAACTCCACCAATGATGGAATTTAACTTGGCACACAGAACTCCCATGGCCAACAGAAAATACTGGAAAGGTTTGGTGGGCATTGACCTTGAGTTTAGGAGTTGTAGTTCACCTACATCCAGAGAGCACTGTGGACTCAAACAATGACGGATCTAGACCAAACTTGGCACAAATACTCAACATGCTCAAATGTGAACACTTGAGGTGTTTGGGGGAAAATAGAACCCCATCATCGATAGAATTTCCCGCACAGAACACCCTTTGGTGACCCCCCCCCCTTGCCGGGGTCCTGACCCCCAGGTTGTGAAATGCTGGTCTAAACTATGGAGCAGCAAAAAACCAACATTTTCCCCTCTTCTGTATGACATCCCTTCAGATACTGAAAGATGATTACATGTCATTTCTTAATCTTCTCTTTTTCAGGATACTATACTCCTGATGTTGAAGTCTATGACTGCATGGGCTTGCAGCCCACACAACACAGTTGATTTCTGTTTAGTTTGTGGCCTATTAAGCTTCCTAGAACTTTTTTACATGTACTGCTGTCAAACTGAGTATCATCTATTATATTTTTTTACATTTCATTTTTCTTGCCTAATCTACATTCATCCTTAAGGATATTCATTTTATTAGACTTTAACCAGATCTCCAGTCTGCTAAGGTCATTTTGAAATCTGATACTGTCCTCTCTTCTGCCACCCTTCTTAAATTAGTGTAATCTGCAAATTTGATGAGTTCTCTATTTGATCATCCAAACTGTTTTATAAAGATGTTAAATAACACAGAGCCCAAGACAAAACTCTTAACGCATCTCATTTTTCACTTTTCTCCAGGAGTAACGGAATCACAGCATTGCTTTCTAAATTCCCACTGACTGACTCTTTAATGATCTGGTCTAGAACCTTTACTGGTATTGACATTAAGCTGACTCGGTACTTGCTTGGGTCTTCTTTTTTTTTCCTTTTTTTTTTTGATGATAGTGAAAGCAATTGCTCTTTTCCACCCAGCCTCTCTTAATTGTCAAGAATTTGCAAAGGTCCGCAACAGAGATTCTAAGGCAACAGACCTGAATTTAGAGCAGCTAAGTATTCCAGCACTACCTCTTTACCTATTCAGGGCTACAGTTCCCTTATTGAAGTATTTGCTTAATTTGTATGCTCTCCTTTTGGGAGGATGCTGAAGAAAAGTAGGCATTGAGCAATACAGATCCCTCTCCTCTATTAATATTTTACCATTTTCTTTCTCTATACACTGACCCAACTGTTTTTTTTGTTTTGTTTTTGGTTCACCCTGTTACTCCAAACATATCCATTCTCCCAACCCCACTCAAATTATTTTGAATGTCTCTAGTAAGCCTGAACTTGTTTGGAACTTATATTTTCTGTCTCGGTGGTCAGTTTGCAACTCTCTTTGGTGCTTTTTCCTTCTTTCAATTCATGTATATATCCATTTAAATGTCAGAACATTTGGAGTTCTTTATATATTTATCCATTCTTTGGCCATTTTCCCCATTTCTTTCTCAGTATAATTATTTTCAATTGTATCCTTGATACCTCACCTTTAAAAAAAAAAACCACATTCATCCAACCTGAACTCCCTTCTATTTGGCAATTCTGACCATGAGATATCACTCAGGAGTTCCTTCAGCTTCAGGCATTCAGTTTTCCTAAAGTCCAGAATATGTCTTTGATAACATTTGGCTTCTCCTTTCCTCTTTATAGTAAATTGCACATTTTGGTCACTCCCACCCTAGTTTCCCTCTATTATATTAATAAATGCATATGGGTAGCATATAGGCAGTTTTCTCCTAGGTATAAAATGTTCATGTTTATTTTATTGGGGTACTGTTCAGTTATGGATATCAGACATTGATAACCACAGGTATAATCTCACTTGCCGTGCAGACTCTTCAAATGTCAGCCCATATAGTAAAATTTTAATTGCACATCTCTACCAGATATCAATACGCCCCAATTACATTGCTGAGATGTCTATGTCAATAGAGCTACGGATAACCCATAACAAATTTCAATTACAATTTATTAACTCCAGGTGCACATAATCATATAACAGTTTTCTCAAATGACATATTAAAGATTTATGCCTCTTTTTAAAATAGGATTTTGACACCAGTGTTCCCAAAGCTGGCAAAGCTTCAAATACGCAAAATAACTTATTTTAAAAAACTATATTTGGATATCATTTTTCATTCAATAACTGAGTAGCTAAAATCATAAATGTTTCTTAGAATACAAACACACTTAACATGGTTAATAGCTCAGTGTCACAAATATAATTTATGATACTAAGAATAGCATGGAATCTTTCAAGAACATAAGTAATGTATAATGCCACCATTCAGCATAGAATTATATGAGCCCCACTAAAATAATTATCATTAGGTATTCCCATGATCTTGGCTAAACACCACTTATTATGGAGAACTCACTAGCACAATTAAACCTTTGCATCTTCAGAGACAAATTCAGATATACATTCTAAAGACGTGAAATCATATTTCATGACATAATTTGTATAAGAGACCCCTTTCACCCTACCTGCGATAGTAAGCTTCAGTTGCCTCTGGAGTATGATGCTTGGCATGTGTTCTTTTGATTAATTTCTGGAAAAAAAGGTAAGTTTTACATTATGCCAAAGAGAAATTTCAAACAAAGCACAAATCTTCAAAAAACCCTCAGATCTCCACAAAGAACCCAGAAATAATTTTTCATTTCTGAATTGAATGAAACATCTTCTGACTCTACTGCAATACACCATATATGTAAAAGGCAGTAAGGTCACAGTAATTGAATCTAAATAAGTTTGCTGAGGGTTACAGAGGGCACTGCAAAACTTGTTCTCTATTTCAACCTTTATATTAATTTCCCTTCAAATCAATTCTATCCCAGTCCTCTGCACTCTGGTTTTACAATTCAATTGGCATTTTTAACCAGGAAGAACATTGCTTAAAAACAACTTATTTGAAAACTACAAAAAGTAATTCCATTGAGACTTGCCACTTGACTGACACCTGTCATCTCATGATAAATGACTCCATTTTCTGCCTCTCTTGCCTTCTGCCACTCCAGCAATGGTCATTTATCATCATCTCTGTCAGCCATGGAAAGCAGCACTGACAGTGCAAGTCAGCAAACATTTAGCACATGGAACCACGCAACACAGGGAAATTATTATTGTCAGAATAATAATGGTTTAGCATAATTTATTACAGGTCCACCAAATAAGCAAAGGGTAGATGTTATTAGACAGATGGATGGGTAGGCTTGGCAGCCATCCACTGAGACTCAGGCGGTGCTTGATGTGGAAAGGGGAACATCCTCCAAACCAATCAGAAAGCTGGCAGTTCAATTACAAAGAAATAAAGGGACATTCATCATTCAATTAGGCACCTGTCAACCCTCACAAAGGAGAAAACTTCTAACCTGGTACTCCTGGGAGAAGATGCTCAGCAGAGTGGACTGCGATTGACTGGAACAAATAAAAGAAGGACAAAGTTAATTACTGGAGTGCACTGCAAAGAAACAAAAGAGAAAGGAGCTTCAAAGGTAGGCCTGCTGCCCTGTAATCTAACAGAACATGAAAACAAGTGTGGAAAAGTTGTTCCAGATGAACACCTCAGACAAAGGCTTCCTACTGTTAGGTCAAGGAGAGAGTAAGGAAAAGAGTTTATGAGGAAGGCAAGAATGGTAAAATTGTAGCAGGAGTTTCAAAGCAACATAGTCTGTTACTTGGACAATTCCTTTCCAGCTACAGAACCCACAAAGTGGAATAGTGGCATTACATACTGAAGCTAGGAAAGGAAACAAAGCAGATTTCCATTAGCAGTGGATAGAACTAAATTCCATTAGCTGCTGGAAACATACCGACTGTTCATTAGCAACATATTGAAATTCATTTTGTTAGCAGCACGGAAACCTCTTCAGTAGCTGTCTCATATTCAAGGAAGAAACTTAGCTCTCTGTCAGAAGCAGCATATGGGACCACTGTAACATTCCTACTAAAACTGATGTGCTTTGAAAATAGAAACTTTCGCAGCAGGAAGCTGAGATTCCCTGGAGTCGGTCATTTCCAAAGGCTGCCATAAGCTTCATTCATTTAAAGCTCCACTCAATGTCAAACACCTGGCAATGAAGCAACCTAGAAAATGTTTTCCCCAAAGAGAGGATTTTTCTCTCCAAATAGTTAACATTTAGAAATGGGACAAGATTTCTTTTCCTCCCTCAAAAAGGCAATCAATATCACACTGCTACAATGTTCAACTGTCCTCTGTGGATATAGACCTCCTCAAAGAAATCTCAAACACAACTAATTAGTTCTGATATATTTTATTTCTAGAGGCAACTAAAAACAAAGTGCAGTTTCAATAAACAGAGTAAGTCAGAAGGCACAATAATACTGATCATTTTTGTCCGTTTTACAAATGTGTTTTTCTCAATCTTCCAATGTTCACATGCAAAAATGGTATATTTTCAGTAACACAAAAATATAATTGATTCTACTGAATCCTGAGTTTATGTTTCAAATTGCTAAATAGGAACAATGCAGAAAATATTTGTCTGAACGTATTATTATTAAATATTGACCTATATTGTCATTGTATTGTCGAAGGCTTTCATGGCTGGAATCACTAGGTTCTTGTGGGTTTTTTCGGGCTATAGAGCCATGTTCTAGAGGCATTTCTCCTGACGTTTCGCCTGCATCTATGGCAAGCATCCTCAGAGGTTGAGAAGGTCTGTTGGAAGTAGGAAAAATGGGCTTATATATGTGGAATGGCTGGGGTGGGGCAAGGAGCTCTTCCCTGCTGCAGTTAGGTGTGAATGTTTAGCTGATCACCTTCATTAGCATTTGAAGGCCTGCCTGAGTCTGGGAAAATCTGTTTGTTGAGAGGTGATTAGATGTCCCTGTTTGTTCCCTCTCTGTTGTTGAGCTGTTGTAATTTTAGAGTTTTTTAATACTGGTAGCCAGATTTTGTTCATTTTCATGGTCTCTTCCTTTCTGTTGAAATTGTCCACATGCTTGTGGATTTCAATGGCTTCTCTGTGTAGTCTGACATGGTGGTTGTTGAGAGTGGTCCAGCATTTCTGTGTTTTCAAATAATATGCTGTGTCCATGCTGGTTCATCAGGTGCTCATGCTGGTTCATCAGGCTGACTTCTCTGGTTGAAGTAGTCTGCATGCCTTTCATGTTCCTTGATTCGTGGTTGGCCAATGCTGCGTTTGGTGGTCCCTATGTAGACTTGTCCACAGCTGCATGGTATAAGGTAGACTCCTGCAGAGGTGAGAGGATCCCTCTTGTCCTTTGCTGAACGTAGCATTTGTTGGATTTTCTTGGTGGGTTTGTAGATTGTTTGTATGTTGTGTTTCCTCATCAGCTTCCCTATGCGATCAGTGGTTCCCTTGATGTATGGCAGGAACACTTTTCCTCTGGGTGGATCTTCATCTTTACTCTCGTGGCTTGTTCTTGGTCTTGCAGCTCTTCTGATGTCTGAGGTGGAGTATCCATTGGCCTGGAGAGCCCAGTTGAGGTGGTTCAGTTCATCTTGGAGGAGGTGGGGTTTGCAGATTCTTTTTGCACGGTCTGCCAAGGCTTTAATGGTGCTTCTTTTTTGACTTGGGTGATGGTTGGAGTTTTTATGTAGATATCTATCTGTGTGTGTGGGGTTTTCTGTAGACGGTGTGACCCAATTGTTGATCTGGTTTGCGGATGACTAGGACATCTAGAAAAGGCAGTCTTCCTTCATTTTCTTTTTCCATGGTGAATTGGATGTTTGGGTGGATGCTGTTAAGATGGTCCAGGAACCTGTTGAGTTCTTCTTCTCCATGGCTCCAAATGGTGAAGGTGTCATCCACATATCTGAACCATATCGTGGGCTTTTTGGTTGCTGTTTCCAGGGCTTGTTCTTCAAAGTGTTCCATGTAGAAGTTAGCTATGACCGGGCTGAGAGGGCTCCCCATAGCTACTCCATCTTTCTGTTCGTAGAATTCATTGTCCCACTGAAAGTAACTGGTGGTGAGGCAATGGTGAAACAGAGCCGTGATGTCTTCTGGGAACCTCTGGTTGATGAGTGCCATGGTGTCTGCTACCGGGACCATGGTAAATAGAGATACCACATCGAAGCTGATCAGTTTGTCGTTTGTATTTAGCTTGAGATTGCTGATTTTTTCTATGAAGTGGGCTGAGTCCTTGATGTAGTGTGTAGTGAGCCCAATATGGCTTTGTAACTGTGCAGCAAGAAATTTTGCTAGATCGTATGTGGGGGATCCAATGGCACTCACGATGGGTCTGAGTGGGGTGGAGTCCTTATGGATTTTTGGGAAAAAGAAAATGAAGGAAGACTGCCTTTTCTAGATGTCCTAGTCATCCGCAAACCAGATCAACAATTGGGTCACACCGTTTACAGAAAACCCACACACACAGATAGATATCTACATAAAAACTCCAAACATCACCCAAGTCAAAAAAGAAGCACCATTAAAGCCTTGGCAGACCGTGCAAAAAGAATCTGCGAACCCCACCTCCTCCAAGATGAACTGAACCACCTCAACTGGGCTCTCCAGGCCAATGGATACTCCACCTCAGACATCAGAAGAGCTGCAAGACCACGAACAAGCCACGAGAGTAAAGATGAAGATCCACCCAGAGGAAAAGTGTTCCTGCCATACATCAAGGGAACCACTGATCGCATAGGGAAGCTGATGAGGAAACACAACATACAAACAATCTACAAACCCACCAAGAAAATCCAACAAATGCTACGTTCAGCAAAGGACAAGAGGGATCCTCTCACCTCTGCAGGAGTCTACCGTATACCATGCACTGTGGACAAGTCTACATAGGGACCACCAAACGCAGCGCCCAGACACGCATCAAGGAACATGAAAGGCACTGCAGACTACTTCAACCAGAGAAGTCAGCCATAGCAGAGCACCTGATGAACCAACCTGGACACAGCATATTATTTGAGAACACAGAAATGCTGGACCCCACCAACAACCACCATGTCAGACTACACAGAGAAGCCATTGAAATCCACAAGCATGTGGACAATTTCAACAGAAAGGAAGAGACCATGAAAATGAACAAAATCTGGCTACCAGTATTAAAAAAAACTCAAAAATTATAACAGCTAAACAACAGAGAGGAAAAAACCAGGCACAGATTAACACCTCCCAGCAACAGATTTTCCCAGACTCAGGCAGGCCTTCAAATGCTAATGAAGGTGATCAGCTAAACATTCACACCTAACTGCAGCAGGGAAGAGCTCCTTGCCCCACCCCAGCCATTCCACAGATATATAAGCCCATTTTTCCTACTTCCAACAGACCTTCTCAGCCTCTGAGGATGCTTGCCATAGATGCAGGCGAAACGTCAGGAGAAATGCCTCTAGAACATGGCTCTATAGCCCGAAAAAACCCACAAGAACCTATATTGTCATTATTAATAGTAGTAGTATCATTATTAAATATTAACCTAATATTCTGGAATCGTATCTTTATTTTACCTGCAATAAAGTGAAAGTGCAGTGTTCCCTCATCGCTTCATGGTTCGCTAACCGCGGACTCGCTGTTTTGCGGCTTTTCAAAAAAATTAATTTAAAATACAAGTAGCGAGGGAACATAGAAAAAGAACAATAGAAGTTTACTTTCACTGTTTATCTCTGAATGTAATTAGTTCACCATTGCAATTAGGATATGTATGTGATTGACTTATAGTCTGCCTTTCTCACGGCACAGTGGATCTAGATCAGCATTTCTAAATTTGGGCACTGGGACCCCTGGGGAGGGTCGTGAGGGGTTGTCAGAGGGGTCACCAAAGACCATCGGAAAACACCGTATTTTCTATTGGTCATGGGAGTTCTGTGTGGGAAGTTTGTACCAATTCTTTGATTGTAGGTGAACTATAAATCCCAGCAACTACAACTCCCAAATGTCAAGTCTATTTCCCCAAAACACTTCAAGTGTTCACATTTGAGCATGTTGAGTATTTGTAATAAGCTTGATCCATATCCATCATTGTTTGAGTCCACAGTGCTCACTGGATGTAGGTGAATTACAACCCCAAAACTCAAGGTCAATGCCCACCAAATCCTTCCAGTATTTTCTGTTAGCCATGGGAGTTCTGTGTGCCAAGTTTGGTTCAATTCCATCACTGGTGGAGTTCAGAATGCTTTTTGATTGTAAGTTAACTTTAAATCCCAGCAACTACAGCTTCCAAATGACAAAATCAATCTCTCTCCCCCTTGCAATCCCACCAGTATTCAAATTTGGGCATATTGTGTATTTGTGCCAAATTTGGTCCAGTGAATAAAAATATGTCCTGCATATCAGATGTTTACATTGCGATTCATAAAAGTAGCAAAATTACCATTATGAAGTAGCAACAAAATTAATTTTAGGGTTGGTAGTCACCACAACATGAGGTATTAAGGGGTTGAGGCATTCAGAAGGTTGAGAACCACTGATCTAGAA